ACGCTCCCTCATTGGTTGATTTAACTTTTGTCGCAGCGACTTGTCGCAGAAGCGTACACACGCTGCGACAAGGCTGCTTGCGCTTATTTTGTCGCTGCGATATGTCGCACGAATGCAAACCAGTTTGAATTCGTGCGAGAGATCGCAGCAAAAATGATATTCACATGTCACATGAGGCGATTTGTTGCAGCAACCTGTCGCGGCGACGTGTCGCAGCGATTTGTCGCATAATGTGTCTTGGCCTTATGTATGCATGTCTATTTATTCAGTGAGATTGAGAGGGTAAGTAAGTAAGTTAAATCTTTAGTTACAGAGGATTGCTCGAAATTATAAAGCTAGTAAACGTGTGGCTCTCTAAGTAATAAATTGCAAGCTAGAAAAAGCATTAAAAACATCCCCACTAACTAATTAAGTTAACTACATAAAGATAAAATACAAGGTTATAAAAGCGTATGAATAAAATTTATTAAACTGTATAAAATGACTTTGACATTGTTGTTTAGTAAAAAGATCCTTAAAAAGCCCTCTTTGAATGGCAATGACATTGAGTTCCATAATTCACAACTCTTTACTGTAAAGAGCTTCCTATCTAGGCAAGAACGTCCTCAGTTATCGTGTGGTTTCCTTAGATGTAGAAAAACGGGAGTGCCACTTTTCTTGTTCTTTTGTACTCCATTCTTAATTTAACTTGTATGTATTTAAGTCATAAAAGACATGTACCGTGTTTCTATCGCGTTTTTAGTATAAATCTGCTAGCGTTCTATGACGAATGCTGCTCTCTCATTTGTCACGCTAATAACCCTCTATTCTGTTGTAGATAGTGAGTAGAGTAGCGGTGCCCTTGTTAAGAAAGTAACGGCCGCTTCTTTGCGTTTTGGAGGTGTCTGTGAAGAGGATGTAGATGGGGCTTTGAACGACTAGTAGATTTATACTAAAACAATTAGATTACTCGCTCTCGATTTCTATAAATCTGGAGCTGATATGTATATGTAATAGGACTACATGCTGTCCAATTTGGAAATAATTGGATGAGAAAAATTCCGAGGACTGCCAAAATTGGACGAGGCCGTAGGCCGAGTCCAATTTGGCAGTCCGAGGAATTTTTTGAATCCAGTTATTTCCAAATTGGACAAGCTTGTAGTGCTATTACCTATTAATTATATAGGATCCAAAAACAGATGAGCAAGGCAAATATTTTATCCTCAAAAGTACAGTATTTCTCACTTCGCTTCGCTCAGCACGTCACAGGTCAGACATTTTAACCCAGGTTTTTTGCTTGTTTGAGCGTTCTTGTTCTGATTATTCTCCCTCATCTCGAGTAAATCAGTAGCATCTATCTCTGGAAACCTAGCTGAAAACTCCATTTGAAAGTTTAGACGTCAAAAAAATGCAGAGAAAAGTCGGGAAATTCCGCCATTATCAAAACATAAGAAAACTTAGCGAGCTAAAATCGCTCGGTGACGTTTGATGGCAGTGATAATAGCTGCAACCTGATTGGCCAATACTCGGTTCTTTTANAACGTGCATAAAAAAATGATCTCAACGGCCGAAATGAATTGCCGAGCAATTTTCGACACATACACTCAGATGTATGTTTGAAAAAATGCGTCTCTTTGTCATCGAAGTACAATCGACACACTTGACTAACAATTCTCACCTATAGTTGTCAAAGACTTTTTAATGACGTTGTAAAACAACTGCTGTTGCGTTTTTCTAAAGTACTCCAATGTTGCTTGGCAATTTTAGAAAACTAGGGACCATTATATAAAACCCAGTTGAAAAGCACTTTCCTAAGAGTTTTGCTTAACGTCACAGTCCCTTGTTTTGTACGACTCGTTTAAATAATATCTATGGTCTAATCTTCCTTCCTTCAGGCCATATGGTCAATAATAAAAGGATAAACCCGACAGCGGAGTATTGAATTGTTTCTGTTTATACTGAATTATAAATCGTCTTTTAATTTAAACCGTTGCAAAATTTATAGGGTCCGAAAAACAAAATATTAATAAAGAAAAAAAGAAAATTAAAAATAAGAACATAACGGTCAATGGCGAAAGGTATTTTGACATTCGACCTCACAAAATCGTGAGGTAAATATCCTCCGTTGTTGACCGGCGCGGCATGAGATCAATACAAAGAACACAAAGAAATCCTACAGTCTTCAAATGGTTTTACTCTTTTCCAACAGAATAGGGCTAATGAAAAGTTGAAAACTTTCGCACATGACGCTGAATTGCAGCCATCTCTACGTGTGTTCGCCCTGTGGATTCAATAGCTTTGTTGATTCACGTGAGGTGGTCTAAGACCGTCGCCATGACAGCTTATGCCTCATACATGTATTTAAAAGAGAGAAAGTGAATTTATTTACCATATGTGTTTTTCAACTGTTTAAGAAGTCTGAAAGACTATGATGTAGTGAAACGCGCCCTTAGGATTCCGTGTAAAGAGCTTTCCTATATCAGAGGAAAAGAAGACAAATTTTGTGTGGTCATTTCCATGTCAAAGTCCCATTACGGTTTTACCCGAAGATCTTGTTTTTGAGCAAAATTACTCGCCACAACAGGATTTAAGCGTACACATTAAGATAGGATAAGAAAAGAGACGATAAGATAAGCTAAAATAAGAACCTTTATTTAAGTGTCAAATGTATTGAGCCCTAGCGGACTAATTGGGGACACCAAACAAGAGTACTAAAAAGAAAATGCTAAAAAAATTAAAGGGAAAGTTAGCTTTTAACACACTTCAATGACTTTAAACGTAACTTGTGATACTGGTGGACTTCCATCTGTTAAATTTATAAGGAATTATCATCATTTGAAACTTGGAAATAAAGGGAAATGTTTTATCCGCATTAATTGCACTTTTTTGTTGTTAAGGTTTGCAAAAGAATTCAAGCCCTCAGAAGGAAAGAGAAAACATTATACCTCTTGCCATTGTTCAGTGTTAGTTAACCCGAATCTCATGCATAACAAAAAGATAAATAAATGATGAATAACTCCTCCTTGGCGACAAAACAGTTGAAATAAGTATTTCTACAATTATATAATTATAATTATATGTACAAGTGTCCACTTACAGAGATCTTGTGAAAATAATTAAACCTGATAAATTTAAATCGTCCTACATCTCATACGGATGTTCGATTTTTTTTTTATTCAAAAAGTATCAATCTTTTAATATTTCTGGCCAGAAGTTCGAGGTTTATGAGTGTATCTTTTTTTTTTTCTTTTAATATTTCCGGCCAGAAGATCAAGGTTTATGAGTGGTTTTTTTCAGACAGGGAATGTTGAAATTTTTATTCAAGCTGGTTATTGTTTAAACACGAGGGTATTGTCCTTAGCATATAAATTTGGAGTGGCCATGATCAGTTATGACGGTCTAAGAACCATCGATGCATGTTGTTACATCTAAAGGTAGGGAGAATTTTGGCATTTATTTATCGTACCTCACTCCAAATATCTTGCTTATCGTATCTTAGAGTCTCTCGAAAGTATCATGTGCACTGCTGGTCTTTCGTAAGGAAATATGTAACATAGAAAGATAAACAAGAAAGTAAATGCTCGTAAAATTAGAACACTTTAAATGAGGCAATTTATTTTACTTCGTTGTTAATGGATCTCCAGGTCCCAATTTTATCACGTAAATGGTCCAAAAACACGCATCCTTTATGTTCCTAAGAAAATTTCACTGATAATGTAGCTAAAATTAACTAATATTTTCGAGAACATAAATCTAACAAAATACAGTACTTACACAATAAATATGCTAAAACTAATGAAAGAGTTAAACTATGTACATAATAAAACTAGGGACAAGTTGCAACGCCACTGAAAAGAGTCATACTGTATATCTTTTGCTTGAAGTCCGCAAAAGTAGAGGTTCTAAGTGAGTCCGGAAGAGAGTTTGGCAGCTAAACATGAAAAGGAACGCGGGCCGTAAGTTCTTGCTTTTGGATCAGGAAGAGACAATATAATTACCGCGTAAACTGTAGGTTGTAGAGCGCAGAGTAAACATGTTACTTAAATACCTTGGATAGCTATTAAAAAAAGAGACTCATATAGTATAACTAAACATTTTGAAGGCGTCTAATATACAGAGGTTTTAAATTAATTTTATCAAGTAAAAAAATCAGTTAAAAATAATTCAAGTATTATTGCAATTTCTCTGTTGGTCATAACAATTACCATTTCCTCAAATGTGATTGGTGGCATAAACTGCTGTATTTTACATACATACATACATACATACATACATACATACATCATTTATTTGTTTACGCAGGTCGCTATATAGGCAGCATAAGCTGATGTGGACCTGCGGTTAATTAGGAGTTACAAAATGAATAAAAAAAGAAACCTAATACACCTAATAATTACAAAAACGTGTAAACTTCTAAAATATGATTACAAGTTAAATTAGAATTCCTAAAAATATTTATAATTTGATAAATCTTTAGTGTAAATTATTGCTGATTAGTTGCTCTAATTAATCTGCAAAGTTGTAATCGGAGAGTGTAATCGGAATGTTGGCTGTAATCGGACACCTGTAATTGGACACTTAAATGAGCCAATCATTTTAAGTCCTCTCCCCTAAATCCACCAATCACAGCATTGATTACAATCACTATAGTAACCAATTCAAGAGACTAACTTTGTAAAACTTTGAAGGTTTAGTCTCTGGTGACTGTTTTGAAAGAAACTTAACCGCCATTTTGCAAGCTATTCTCCATATTTTTAATTATGATATTTAAAAATGACTATTAAAAGCTCTTTTTCAAATGAAACTTTTACTTTTGTGGGAAATTGCAATGGTTATGATAAATTGGTAACAGGACATCGTGTCGTCCTATTCAGTCTGTAATCACACTCGTGATTAAGAAATCGGACTCCCGCTTCGTCGTCGTCCGATTTTGTTAATCACTCGTATGATTACAGACCGAATTGGATTCCACTCAGTCCTATTACTATTATTAATATTTGTTTCTTTTTTGCTGCAGGCTCAGTAGTACAGATCATTCAAAATATCGATGTCTCCTAAAATTTTAAAATGTGCCCTTTTCGTTATTGGTACTCTGCTATGCGTACTTTTCTGGGCCAAATATACTTGTGATAGATCCAAAGATGGTATGTTAAAACTGGTTTAAATAATATATATATTTCTTTAAAAAATACCATAGTTACAAGCAAACAGTATCAAACCTACCTGGTTTTCAGGCAAGTCCTTTTTACAGGCCGAATTAAAGGGATTTTGAAAATTGAGAGTTTTTAGTTGGGAGAAGGGTCGGAGTAATAGAAGAACAAGAAAAACCAGAAGCAGGGACGAGAATCGACAACAAACACAACTCACAAATGGCACCTAACCAGAATACAAACCGGGCCACATTAGTAGGAGGCGACTGCTCTCACCACTACGCCATCCCTGCTCTCTACTCTCATCGATCTCGAGCTTTATAACTTCTTGACTTTTTTTTTTCTTCTAATTGAGGTCATTATTTATAAGGCGCTGTTGGATTCTCCATAAGAAGTATATTGTTGCTTTGGGCTAAATGTGATTCTAAAAGAAACACTCTTTTAGCTCCACAGCGTACGAATCCACCAGCTCTAGATGCGAGAATTTACGACAAGGTCAAGGTTTTTATACTTTTCATTGGGTATAACAGAAGTCGGCACACTTTGATGGCTTCCCTGTTAGATGCCCATCCAAATGTGATCATCGCCAACGACTTCAATATCCTTGGAGAGTGGATCAACAATCCTTTGCTGTCTAAGAGAAATAAATATTACATGTACGAGTTGCTCTACGCAAAATCTCGCTATGACGTCATGTATGGCGTGCGATCCCGAATGGTGGATGGCAAGCCTGTTCAGTATCATTACAACATCAAAGGGCAGTGGCAAGGAAGATACAATAACACCATACAGGTAAACGGAGCTTATAATTTCAATCCCGTATTCTTTTCTCTATCAGCGTCTATTTTCAAAACTGATTTCACTTATCAATCGCTGAGAGCTCAGTTCGTTTCTTTGGCAGTCAAGTTTTAAAACCTATATCAGTGATCATCTTGGAATACAAACTTTAAACATTTAGTAAAATAACATTGATAAAATAGTTTAAAAGCTGCAATCTCATTAATTGCCCGAACTGTCGTACACCATCAGCCATTCCTGTACAACGCCTAGAAATCGTCCAACAAAGTTAACGGTGACGAATACTTACAGGCATAATAGTTAACGGGTCATATAGTCTTTAAAGCTAGGAAAACAAGAACAAAAAAAATGCATCAAATATATGATAGTATTGACGCGCCATTCAAGAATCACAATCTGCATGTCTTTTCTACAGGTAATCGGAGACAAGAAAGCAGCTAAGGCCTCAGCAATTTTACTCCAGAGACAAGGAAGAGATTCTCTGAGGAAATTGGAAGATAAACTTGGGGTACATCTCAAGTTTATTCACGTTATAAGGAATCCCTTTGATAACATTGCAACTATGGCTTTGCGAACAGCAGACCTTAAGAAAAATAAGCCACAGGACGATCTTAAGGTTGGTATTTATTGTATAAATTAAGCGAACTTGTTTTTAAAAACGGTGTTTTCTTTAAGAAATAGAAAACATGTATCGTGTTTCTATCGAGTTATAGAAACACGAGTGGACGTTTGGGAGAACGAGAAATGCTGTGGGAACACGAGCCACAAGCGACTGTTTCCACAGCTTTTTTGAGTTCCCCCAAGCTTTCACGAGTGTTTCTATAACTCGATAGAAACACGGAGAACATGTTTTCTATTTCTTTTAGAAAACACTGCCACGAAAAAAAGGAAAACAGCTTGTTAACTTTGAAATCAAATTAAAGTGTAAATTCTCTTTGCTCGCCCCATCATTGCGTCAACAGCTCGTGCTAGTTCTGTGTTTCCATCGAGTTATAGATACACGATTTTTAACCAATCAGCGGGCGTGTTTTCTTAGGGCTGTTTTTTAAAAAAAGAAATAGAAAATATGTTCTCCGTGTTTCTACAGAGTTATAGAAACACTTGTGAAAGTTTGAGAGAACTCGAAAAAGCTGCGTGAATACTCGCCTGCGGCTCGTGTTCCGACAGCATTTCTCATTCTCCCAAACTTCCACTCCTGTTTCTATTTAACAATTAGATTATGAGCTCTAGATATCTATGAGGTGACAGTTTCGGCCTCATCAACTATCACCTTATAGAAATCGAGAGCGAATAATCTAATTGTTTTAGTAGAATTCTTACTTAAATTTATTTCAAATAACCGTTTCCAATTATTTCTTGACGTATTATTAAACTTTACACCTGAAAAAGGTCGTTCCGATTGAATTGTTACTTAAAACTGAGTTGTGTGCGCGCGCGCATCAGTTTTTTTTTCAATAATTTCAACTTTTTTAAAAGTCAAGAAACCGTACATGTCCTTCGTTTAGACTTCTCAGGAATTTAATTATCCCCTTCCATCAAAATTCTCCTCCAAAACTTTGGAAAAAGGAAAGAAACGTCGCCATTTCCTAGACGACCTCCAGCCACTGCACACTACTGGCTTAGAGTGTGCAATGGCTCAGCCAATCAGATCACAGCATTTGCATTAGTATATATACTAGTAGAATTCTACTAAAACTCGATAGAAACACGGTACATGTTTTCTATTCTTTAATTGTTGTTGTTTCAGTGCAACTGTACGGAAGAACTTGACATAGCCATTACCGAATACAGTGAACAAGTCCGAGGAAGCGCTGTAGTCAAGAAGAACTTTCCAGGTCGTGTGCTTGATGTGGAAAGTATGCATCTGATGATGAACACAGAGGAAACGCTCATGAAAGTTTGCGAGTTTTTTGGAATAACGTGCACACAAAAATATCTAGACGACTGCGCTTCAGTTNCACGTGATTAATTCAAACGGATCGAATGCAGATCAGTACTGAACTAAAGCGGTGACTATTGACGACTATTCCTCACTATTCGCGACTGTTGGCCACCATTCGCACTATCCGAGACTATTCGCACTATTCGTACTATTCGCTATTCGCTATTCGCTATTCAGGTCTTCCAGACACCCGTCAAAAATAGCGGAGTGTTCGGCGGAGTGTTTTATGGTGGGTTTCGATAGAGATCTGTTGTTACAGAAGCATTCTGTCTGTGGATTTTTAACGGCCTTTTGAGTAGCGATGGCGACAAGTTGCTAGTATCTGCGACCATGAAAGCGGGATGGCAATGGATATTGTCTTTAAACCTCAGGTCGAACCAACCGTATAGATGGCAATTTCGTAATCCAAGAATTAAAAGAGAGCCCAAAATCGCGTCTTAGTTACATGTATGTAGTAGTTTTTCTTGTTTCAATTCTATTTTACACCAGAAAGCATAAGTTGAGGGAATTTGTGAGTTGAATCAGCTGCTGCAGTATTTATATCGATATCGTGAGAATGCCTCAAGATGTAGCTCCGAAAATATTTGAAAAAGGTGTCTCAAGTGCTTCTTTTCGGTGACTGTTTACTCGAAATCGATAGGAAAATGATTAGCTTTATATTTCTTGTTGATTTCGAGTTAGGTTAAGACAAAGAAACGGCTTTTGTGTTTTAGTGGATGTTCAGGAAATGGCCAAAAATCGTTACGTTTTATGTAAACAGTAGCCCAGCACAGAAAAGATGTTGAATTCTGTTGAAATGAATGTCTGTGCTTTTAGACTGATAGTTGTAGAACATGACCGATTGGATTTATTTTCACATGGCTTTTCTTGTTGTTGAAATGCTAAACCAAAGATGACTAATCAAATATGTATAGTTAGTGTCAAATGGCCATTTTTGCAGGGGGCTTCCCATAACTTGAAGGGAATAGAATATTTTGACCTGCTTTCTTCCACAATCATTCACTCACCAAACCCAACATTTGTGCCAAATGTGAGCGAAATCATTGTTTTGAGCTGTCTCACCTCCTGCCTGTTTTTCTCGAGGCCACACTGTTAACCCTCGTAAAGGGAGACATGCATGTATGCAGTGTATGTATAATGGGGATTAATTTTCTAATCGAGACGAGAAAAGTCGAATCATAGATGAGAAATGTAAACGATAGAGCAAAGGAGCGAAACATTTTTGTGTTTCCTTCTCCCTATTTCAAAAAGAGTCCATGTCCTAAGCACTTTTCACTTGTTAAGTTTAGTCTCTCTCGGGAAAAACAAACGTCTGAAGACAAGAAAGTCTAATAACATATCCTTTTCTGGGACGACATGAATTCTGGATAACTCGGCTAAGCTTTAATCTTCATTGAAGGAAGACATACAGACACGCAAGAAGTGCGTGTATAATGCTGGTTAAGTTTTCTAATGGAGACGAGAAAAGTCGAATCACAGATGAGAAATGTAGACAAATGCTGAGAGCAAAAGAGGGCACCAAGATTTCCTTTTGCCAGTTTCAAAACAAGTCTATTGTGTTACTTTTTCCAATACTCAGCCAATGATTTACTAGTATTTAAGATTTAAAATCTCGCTTACAGCTTTGAAACATAGAATTGTCATAATTATAGAGTTACGCACACATTTTGATAGTAAAAATCAACAAAACCTAGCTGATCGTTAGCCGTCTATAATGAGTGATCGCAATTATTTTTCAATCAATTCTGTATTAAAATAAAACTGTTCATTATTTTAATGAAGTGAGTTGTTTGAATAATTTAAAATATCGAACATTTACCCTTTTTAACATCTTCCTATACAAGTGACGATTCTGTTGCCTGCAGACTCAAAGCTATCATTACACAGAAAATACAAAGACCCTGCATTGTATTCACGCGCCAATTAGTCGAAGCGAGTTTACCCTTTAAATTTTCATCTCAAGACCACAAAGTCTAAAAGCCCAAGTTAAATGTTGATAGGCAATCAGCATTTGCTGAAACTCTGAATAGCTTATCCCTTCTCGATTTTGTAACCTGTTTGGCTAAAACGTGCATAAAAAAATGATCTCAACGGCCGAAATGAATTGCCGAGTAATTTCGACACATACACTCAGATGTATGTTTGAAAAAATGCGTCTCTTTGGCATCGAACGACAATCGACGCACTTGACTAACAATTCTCACCTATAGTTGTCAAAGACCTTTTAATGATGTTGTAAAACAACTGCCGTTGCGTTTTTCTAAAGTATACAAATGTTGCTTGGCAATTTTAGAAAACTAGGGACCATTATTTAAAACCCAGTTGAAAAGCACTGTCCCAAGAGATTTGCTTAACGTCACTGTCCCTTGTTTTGTACGACTCGTTTAAATAATAACTATGGTCTAATCTTCCTTCCCTCAGGCCATACAGTCAATAATAAAAGGATAAACCCGACAGCGGAGTATTGAATTGTTTCTGTTTATACTGAATTATAAATCGTCTTTTAATTTAAACCATTGCAAAATTTATAGGGTCCCTTTCCCAGATATATAAAAAGGCACCGAAAAACAAAATATTAATAAAGAAAAAAAAGAAAATTAAAAATGAGTTAACATAATGGTCAATGGCGAAAGGTATTTTGACACTCGAGCTCACAAAATCGTGAGGTAAATATCCTCCGTTGTTGACCGGTACGGCATGAGATCAATACAAAGAACACAAAGAAATCCTACAGTCTTCAAATGATTTTATTCTTTTCCAACAGAATAGGGCTAATGAAAAGTTGAAAACTTTCGCTCGTGACACTGAATTGCAGTCATCTCTACGTGTGTTCGCCCTGTGGATTCACTAGCTTTGTTGATTCACGTGAGGTGGTCTAAGACCGTCGCCATGACAGCTTATGCCTCATACATGTATTTAGTATTAAAAGAGAGAAAGTGAATTTATTTACCATATGTGTTTTTTACAACTGTTTAAGAAGTCTGAAAGACTACAGTGTAGTGAAACGCGCCCTTAGAATTCCATGTAAAGAGCCTTCCTATATCAGAGGAAAAGAAGACAAATTTTGTTTAGTTACTTCCATGTTAAAATCCCATTACGGTTGTACCCGAAGATCTTGTTTTTGAGCAAAATTACTCGCCACAAGAGAATTTAAGCGTACACATTAAGATAAGATAAGAAAAGAGAAGATAAGATAAGGTAAAATAAGAACCTTTATTTAAGTGTCAAATGTATTGAGCCCTAGCGGACTAATTGGGGACACCAAACAAGAATACTAAAAAGAAAAGGCTAAAATAATTAAAGGGAAAGTTAGCTTTTAACACACTTCAATGACTTTAAACCTAACTTGTGATACTGTTGGACTTCCAACTATTAAATTTATAAGGAATTATCATCATTTGAAACTTGGAAATAAAGGGAAATGTTTTATCCGCATTAATTGCACTTTTTTGTTGTTAAGGTTTGCAAAAGAATTCAAAGCCCTCAGGAGGAAAAAGAAAACATTACACCTCTTGCCATTGTTCAGTGTTAGTTAACCCGAATCTCATGCATAACAAAAAGATAAATAAATGATGAATAACTCCTCCTTGGCGACAAAGCAGTTGAAATAAGTATTTTCGAAAGTCCTAGATAATTATATGTACAAGTGTCAACTTACAGAGATCTTGTGAAAATAATTAAACCTGCTAAATTTAAATCGTCCTACATCTCATTCGGATGTTCGATTTTTTTTATTCAAAAAGTATCAATCTTTTAATATTTCTGGCCAGAAGTTCGAGGTTTATGAGTGTATCTTTTTTTTCCAGACAGGGAATGTTGAAATTTTTCTTCAAGCTGGTTATTGTTTGAACACGAGGGTATTGCCTTTAGCATATGAATTTGGAGTGGCCATGATGAGCTGTGACGGTCTAAGAACCATCGCTACATGTTGTTACATCTAAAGGTAGGGAGAATTTTGGCATTTATTTATCGTATCTTACTCCAAATATCCTGCTTATCGTATCTTAGAGTCTCTCGAAAGTATCATGTGCACTGCTGGTCTTTCGTAAGGAAATATGTAACATAGAAGGATAAACAAGAAAGTAAATGCTCGTAAAATTAGAACACTTTAAATAAGGCAATTTATTTTACTTCGTTGTTAACGGATCTCCAGGTGCCAATTTTATCACGTAAATGGTCCAAAAACACGCATCCTTTATGTTCCTAAGAAAATTTCACTGATGCCCCTCTAAAGACCTAGAATTTGAAGCACTCACTGACTCACTCTGATAATGAAGACGTGTTTGGAATTAACGAACTCTCAAATAATATCTAAGCTTAGCCGATTTGTTGCTTGAATAATTTTCTATCATTCGCGGTAGAAATGCTTCAGAATCTTCGTGCCGTTTTGAATTATGTTGTATTTCCCGTTTATAAATGGAACATTATCACAGTGTTTAAAACTAACGTTTTGTTTCGTCATAGATTGGTCGGCGACGTCGAAGTTAGATCAAATAAAGATCAAGGTTACGTTCTACTCCCACCAATTGCCACCAGTCCACAAAAAATCGCCAAGCCTACGAATTTGAAAAGCTTTCTTAGATAATTCCTGATGCAGCTATTAAAGAGGATCAGAAGGAGATTTTATTTTTATTTTGCAAGCATTTTCATACTTGCCGCAATTTTATTCAGCATTTTTTACAATCAGCCACAGTCTGAAGATTTAGCGACCGTTTTTACGCTCACCGAGACTGAACAGAGCTTCGACTTGTTATCTCCTCCGACGCAAAGCAATGACATACTCTACATTGCCGACACGAAAAACGATTGGGAGCAACGTCTTCCGAACACGCTTATCATCGGCATAAGGAAAGGAGGAACCAGGGCGCTGATCAATTCTCTATCGCGTCACCCCAACGTAAGAGCATGTTATAGAGAGTTGCACTTCTTTGACCGCCAGGAGAACTATCATCTGGGGTTGGACTGGTACAAAACCCAAATGCCGCTGTCTTTGAGAAACCAAATCACAGTCGAGAAAACGCCTGCCTATTTTGTAACAGATGACGCCCCACGACTTGTTCATCAAATGTCCTCTTCTGTTAAGCTGTTGGTGGTAGTTCGTGATCCAACAGTGCGTGCGATTTCAGATTATGCACAGTTGTCTGACAAAAAGCATGGTACCCTGAGACCCTTTGAGGAATACGTAACTGAAGATTCGCAGCACCGTGTTCTTCGAGCATCGAGTACGATAGTCACCACTGGCTTGTACATGAATCATTTGAGAAGATGGTTGGAATATTTCCCCCTTGAGCAAATTCACTTCGTTAACGGCGGAGAGTTGGTTAAAAACCCCGTCAATGAGATGAAATCCGTTGAGAAATTTTTGGGCTTGGAGCCGTTTATCGACGAAAAGTTATACTACTTTAATGAAACAAAGGGTTTCCCATGCTTAGTACCAGTCTCTCAAGAGGGAGACGACGAAGCTAAATCTGGTTGCTTGTCGGAAACCAAGGGACGACCACACCCCTCTATCAATGAAGATGTGGTAACGTTGCTTCGTGACTTCTATAGGCCATTCAACGTAGAATTTTACAAAGCTGTAGGGAAAAACTTTGGATGGCCTTAGTGAGCTGTTATTGTTGTTGTTGTTGTTGTTGTTGTTTTCTTTTTTCACTAGGATATCATTTACACATATTAAGCGGCTCGGCTTTGAGTCCGGCATTATTGGAACCGACTATAGGACTAGTTTTATGTAGTATAAACTGTACGTACAACCTGCCAGATAGCCTGGGTTTAGGGTCTGAGTTTCCCAGTCCAGTCCTACTTTCTGGCTTTTCGCTTTGGCAAGCGAGCAAGTTTAAGAGCTAGGTGGGTGGGGGAGGGGGCTTAGAAACTAGGTTAAGTAAATCAAGAACTGTTTCGTGAACTTGCCTTCAATTGTCGCCTCAAAGTATAAAGACCGAGACACACTATGCGACAAATCGCTGCGACACATCGCGGCGACAAGTCGCTCCGTCGATGCGACAGGACACCTCGTCTGAACTGTTGCTGCGACAAGACACTTGTTCGGTGCACGCAAGCGAATTTGGAAGAGGGGAAAGGTGAACTAGTTTCCAAATTTAACATGGTGGACCAGCCAATACAGCGAAGGTCAAACAAAAAGAAGCTCTTAGTTCTGTTAATGATGCTGTTAGATGACGAAGAATATAAACACGTCGAAAGAAGATGCTAGAAACGACAATGGGTGTCAAGAAGAGAAGAAAGAGGGGCTTATTACGCTCAGGTTGTCTATATAGTTCCATATGTTCGGTCGCCATTTTGAATTGACGCTCCCTCATTGGTTGATTTAACTTTTGTCGCAGCGACTTGTCGCAGAAGCGTACACACGCTGCGACAAGGCTGCTTGCGCTTATTTTGTCGCTGCGATATGTCGCACGAATGCAAACCAGTTTGAATTCGTGCGAGAGATCGCAGCAAAAATGATATTCACATGTCACATGAGGCGATTTGTTGCAGCAACCTGTCGCGGCGACGTGTCGCAGCGATTTGTCGCATAATGTGTCTTGGCCTTATGTATGCATGTCTATTTATTCAGTGAGATTGAGAGGGTAAGTAAGTAAGTTAAATCTTTAGTTACAGAGGATTGCTCGAAATTATAAAGCTAGTAAACGTGTGGCTCTCTAAGTAATAAATTGCAAGCTAGAAAAAGCATTAAAAACATCCCCACTAACTAATTAAGTTAACTACATAAAGATAAAATACAAGGTTATAAAAGCGTATGAATAAAATTTATTAAACTGTATAAAATGACTTTGACATTGTTGTTTAGTAAAAAGATCCTTAAAAAGCCCTCTTTGAATGGCAATGACATTGAGTTCCATAATTCACAACTCTTTACTGTAAAGAGCTTCCTATCTAGGCAAGAACGTCCTCAGTTATCGTGTGGTTTCCTTAGATGTAGAAAAACGGGAGTGCCACTTTTCTTGTTCTTTTGTACTCCATTCTTAATTTAACTTGTATGTATTTAAGTCATAAAAGACATGTACCGTGTTTCTATCGCGTTTTTAGTATAAATCTGCTAGCGTTCTATGACGAATGCTGCTCTCTCATTTGTCACGCTAATAACCCTCTATTCTGTTGTAGATAGTGAGTAGAGTAGCGGTGCCCTTGTTAAGAAAGTAACGGCCGCTTCTTTGCGTTTTGGAGGTGTCTGTGAAGAGGATGTAGATGGGGCTTTGAACGACTAGTAGATTTATACTAAAACAATTAGATTACTCGCTCTCGATTTCTATAAATCTGGAGCTGATATGTATATGTAATAGGACTACATGCTGTCCAATTTGGAAATAATTGGATGAGAAAAATTCCGAGGACTGCCAAAATTGGACGAGGCCGTAGGCCGAGTCCAATTTGGCAGTCCGAGGAATTTTTTGAATCCAGTTATTTCCAAATTGGACAAGCTTGTAGTGCTATTACCTATTAATTATATAGGATCCAAAAACAGATGAGCAAGGCAAATATTTTATCCTCAAAAGTACAGTATTTCTCACTTCGCTTCGCTCAGCACGTCACAGGTCAGACATTTTAACCCAGGTTTTTTGCTTGTTTGAGCGTTCTTGTTCTGATTATTCTCCCTCATCTCGAGTAAATCAGTAGCATCTATCTCTGGAAACCTAGCTGAAAACTCCATTTGAAAGTTTAGACGTCAAAAAAATGCAGAGAAAAGTCGGGAAATTCCGCCATTATCAAAACATAAGAAAACTTAGCGAGCTAAAATCGCTCGGTGACGTTTGATGGCAGTGATAATAGCTGCAACCTGATTGGCCAATACTCGGTTCTTTTA